ATCCAATACTTCCTCAAAATCCTACCAAAATAAACCAAACGCACCCTATAAGACTTCAAGGATACTTTTGATAGTATTAAATATTGGGGAAGGTAAATGAAATTGACTCGTTCACTTTCCGTCAACGTCAGAAACGATGACGTTCTACCGTTTTTCAATAAACTAAAAATACAGCAAGCTTTAGACTAAAACAAGATCCACTGGAAAACAAAACTTCCTAAATGCATCCTCTACGAAATCTCCAAAATATAAATCATTTCAATGATTCAATTCTCACCACCGGATCACACGTTCCTCATTTAGATCTTGTCACTTTCCCAAGAAAATCAACCCGAAATCCATACCCCTCACTTTCCCGAGAAAAAGTCGCACTCTCACAGTGACACCGTACCTCTCCACGCTCTCCCCAATCCGAATCGACGAGATCGAAAACCTAATCCACGTTAGCGTCCAATCGGCAATCACGTCCTCCGGCCCGGGCCCAGCCCGACGCGGCCCGCCACGATCCCTGTTCTCTGTTCATCAACTCCTTTCATCAATTCAAACCTCTCCGCTTTCCTCCTGTCCAATCAGAAGGTGCCATCTGTCTCCGCCGCGCCTCCGCTCCGCTCCCGCCTCGACGAACCCTACCAGTTCTCGTTCGAAATCGGGGTTAGCGGCTTCGGGCCGGCCCGAACACGTTGACGGAGCCGGTTGGGACACGGTGAAGAGAGATCTATCGCGAATTGTGAGTAATTTGAAACTGGTTGTGTTTCCGAATCCGTATAGAGAAGATCCGGGAAAGGCTCTGAGAGATTGGGATCTGTGGGGCCTTCTTCTTTATAGTGTTTTTAGGCTCACTCTCTCGTGGTCAGCCTCTGTTAGAAGGTCAGCATAATTTAGTTCTTACTTTGGTGAATGTCGGATAGCTTAATTTAGACTAAAAGAGTTTTATTACGAATTTTGCTATTAATTTGCTTGTGATCAATAGAGTCTCCAAATTAGCTCAATAACTTTGACAGTTTAAGCGTACAATTTCTGTGAAAATGTAAAAAATATTTAACATTGATAATGCAGCAATACATAGTTTAGATACATCTTGATATAGGAGTTTGTATAAGCGAAAATTAACTATCGTAGTTACCAGTGATTGTTGGTGCCTGGGATTTCTTTGCCTACAACTTAGTTGCGATGGGGTGTACTGAAAAAATGAGTAATGAAATATCTGGGCGAATCCGATAGTAGTATTTTCTTACTAACTGTCTCATATTTGTGCATTTGAAGCCTAAAGTTGTTATCGATGAGAGGCCTAAATTTGGAGAAGTTAAAAGGACTGACTGATATTGAAAGATAATCCAAATTGAGCTTGTTGGTATTGGCAATTTCTCCCAAAGTCCAATGTCTGATCTTATTTGTCAAACTCAACTAAATACAAATGTTTTGCTCGTATTGCCCTTTTTCTTTGCAACATTAGATTTATTGATTCAACGTGATGTTTTCAGATTTTCTAAGAATGCAGAACAGCGTTCAGGGACTTAGGTCGCTTTTTTGTGTTTGTTTATAAATGATACCTTGCTAGCAAATTGATTCATATTTTTGGTTGTGATAAAATTCTCGAGTTTGAAATCTTTACGAGGTATAGAGATCAGTGAGGGGAGAACATCTTTGTAGTGTTACACCTAAGATTGTATCTTCATTCTTTATTTTCTCGAGGGTGGTGGACTTCAATGGTGGGACTTAGCGATGAAAATGTGCGGTGGGGAGGTTTTGGTGATGTATGGAAAGAAGAGTTGAAACCTGGTATAGCCTTCTTGAGTTCAGGGGTTGAGTTGAGAAAAAGTAAAACTAAGGTTTGACATCGTGATATAGATGTGATTCTTGAGATTTTTCCAATAATCTATCTAATTGTTAATATTAACTTACAGACTTGTAGATTTACACCACTTTAAGCTCATAATTTCAAGTGTCTTTAGAATGTTTTACTTTCGTAGAAAAGTTAGGATAGGCGGGTTACCAGTGATTTTTGCACCACTAACTGAACAAAAAGGTTATGCATCCAGTGCAGTTTATGTGTCTATCTCAGATCAATAATTACAGTTATGTGACTAAGTCCAAAGATGTGGCATTTCTTTTAAGGTGGTAATGAATTGGGTCTGTGTTCATCTTCCAAAGAATTCATCGGTTGCTATTATGTTCAATCATGATTTCGATCAATATATAAATAGAAGGATTTGGCTAGACCTCTGTTGCGAACCTACTCTGTTTTGTTTACAATCATCCACAATTTTCCAACATAAGTTATTCAAACAGTGATGTAATAATCTATCATTCAGAATCTCTAATATGTAATTCCTGGAAAATCTGAGTTACATTCAAGTATGGATACAACCCAAATACCAGAGTTTAAAACAAACAGCAAGGAAAATTAAATGAAACTAATACGCTGGACTTCGAGGGCCAGCTCACTCCCCTTTTTCTCAATTCTTCTCTGAGCCTTTTTAACCTTGCTGCTCCCTTTTATTCACTCCTTCCCTAACGGAATTTCAGTTTCAGCTCTTATTGTTGCCACCTGTTGATTCCACCTTTTTGCTTCTCTCACACTTTAGTTGTTCCCTTTATCACAATTGATTTCCTGCTGCCTTCCCACGCTTCTTATATAAACCCTCACTTCACGTGTTGTATCATACCTTCCGAAGAAGAGCCACCTTGTCCTCAAGGTGGAAGGAAGGAAAAAGGAATTCAGGCCGTCAAACTCTTCCCAAGTATTCTCAGGTGGGGTAACCCTGCCACTTAATTAGAACTTCCCTTTGACCATGATTAGCTTGCGCGTATTCAGCACTTCTTCTGGTTCGACAACTAAAACCAGATCTTCATTTAAGGAGTCCAGAAGAGGCTGAATGTTCGGTGGAGGAAAATTGGCTTTCTTGAGTTGGGACACACAGAAATACATTATGGATCGAGCACCAGCGGGGAGTTCTAACCTGTAGGCGGGTGATCCAATTTTTTCCAGGATTCGAACGGTCCATAAAACCTAGGACTTAGCTTTTCGTTGCAGCGTGGCGCGGTGATTTCAGACGGTAGGGCTGAAGCTGAAGGTATACAAGTTCATCCACTTCAAACTGAACATTCGTTTTTCGCATCTGCTTAACTTTTCATGCGGTTTTGAGCCTTGAGCAGATTCTCCTAAGTTCCAGGAGAATACTGTGCGATCTTGAAGCTGCTAATTTACTTCATCTACCGGTGAGCTGTGGTCTGGTATTTCAACAATTGTGAAGGGTCTCGTCCGTACAAGGCCTTGAAAGGACTCATACCCGTGGATGCTGTAAGTAGTAGTAAACCAGAATTCAGCCCACGGAATCCAGTGAGGCCACTGCCGAGGCTGATTTCCTACAAAACAACGAAGGTAAGTTTCCAAACATCTGTTAACAACTTCCGTTGACCATCTGTCTGCGGGTGATAGGCCGAGCTCATGTGAAGCTTAGTGCCAGCCTGCCTTAAACATTTCTCCCCAAAATGGCTCATGAACACTCTATCACGACCGAAACAATTGTCCTTGGAAAGCCGTGGAGTCGTACGACATCTTTGATGAAAGCGGTTGCTACCTCTTTGGCTGTATAAGGGTGTTTGAGTGTGAGGAAATGGCTAATTAGGGAGTCTGTCAACGACAACCAAGATAGTATCCACATTGTGTGCTTTCGTAAGCCCCACTATAAAATCCATGGAATAATTCTTCCAAAACCTGGATGGGAATGGGAAGGGGCTGCAATAGACCAGCAGGCCGCAATGTTCATATTTGTTTTGTTGACACACACTGCAAGAGTCCACTAAATTTGGATATCTCGTTCATTCCATCCCAAAAAACACATTCATCAGGCGCTTGTATGTTCTGTAAAATCCAGAGTGGCCTCCACTGGGGATGAGTGAAATTCATGCAAAAGTTTTTGATATGGGGGCCTTGTTTCGGGACAACCAACTGTTTTGGTACATAAGGGTTTGCCTATGAGTTTGAATTGAGGGTGGCCATGAGGGTAACCATGAGCTGCTGAGTGAGTTGCCGCAACTTATCATCTTGTTGGATGGCCTCTTCTAGTTCTTCGAATCCACCGAAACAGCCCATTGAAATTGCGTTCTCCACATTCTAGGGCGTCGGGACAATGCATCCGCAGCCTTGTTCTTTGGCCCGGGCGGTACTGTGATTTCAAACTGCAACCCAAGTAATTTTGATACCCATTTCTGTGCTCCTCATTCAACAACTTTTGGTCAGTTAGAAAAGAAGACTTTTCTGGTCAGTTCGATGACAAAGTCGGCCAAGCAAATAATGTCTCATTTCTGTACCGCCATCACAAAGCCTCATTTCCCTTTCATAGACCGACTTGAGTTTCGAAGTTGCTGATAGACCTTTACTGAGAAAGAATAGGCTCTTCCCTGCATTAAAAACAGCTCCCAAACCACAACCTGACGCATCAGTTTCAATGAGAAATGGTTTAGAAAAATCAGGCATTACTAACACTGGTACCTGGTCAGGGCAGATTTCAATGCCTCAAATGCTTCCTGAGGTTCTCACCCACATGAATGAATCCTTGCGTACAAATTAGTCAAAGGTAGTGCTATCTTACCATACCCTTTACAAAGCGTCTGTAATACCTTGTCAGGCCAAGAAACCCTCTAGTGTTTTCACATCCTTCGGTCGGGGCCAGTTGACAATGCTTTCAATTTTGTAGGGATCCACAGCCAAAACCGTGTGCGAGATGAAATGGCCCAAATATTTAATTGGAGTTTTCCGAAGAAACACTTCTTTCGGTTGGCCACTAACTGATGTTCGAGTAGTGTCTGAAAAGTGAGATGAGATGCTGTAGGTGGTCGTCATTGTTTTGTTGTAAACCAGAATACATCAAAGAATACTAGGACAAACTTCCGAAGGTACGGCGAAAAACTCGTTCATTAAGGCTTGGAATGTGGATGGGGGGTTGGTAATCCGAATGGCATAACGAGGAATTCGTAGTGCCCTTCGTGAGTTCGGAATGCCGTCTTGTGGGTATCTTTGGTTGCACTCTGATTTGGTGGTACCCGGATTTAAATCTAGCTTGGAATACCGTGCACCTCCCAGTTCGTCGAATAACTCGTCAATGGCGGGGATGGGAAACCTGTCTGGAATTGTTACCTTGTTGAGTGCCCTGTAATCCACGCAAAATCGCCACCCACCATTTCTTCTTAACCAGACGAACCGGACTGGAGAAAGGGCTGATGCGCGCTTAATAATCCCAGAAGTAACATCTCGCGATGATTTTCTCAATCTCATTTTTTTGGTAATAGGGATATCTATAAGGTCGAAGGTTCGGTATTTGGGCATCAGGGTTTATCGAATGGCATGATCCTGAGGTCTACTCGGTGGTAACCTGGCAATGGCTCAAAGACCAGCTGGAATTTTGCTACACTGATAACACGCTACTACTGACATCAGCTTCTTCATTTGCTTGTTTTGTAATTGCCCAAATTCGACCAGATGAGTCCCTTCACTCTTCAAGGTTCTAATCATTGCTTTCAAGGAGACATTGTCTTACAAGTGCGGATCACCTTAAGAGTCACCATTTCCTTACCCAGTTGAAATTCATTACCTGCTTAGCCAATCCATTGTAGTTTCGCCCAACGTTTCTAAACAAGCCATACCTAGGACAACGTCCGCACTACTCATGTCAAAAGGAAAAAACTGAATGATTCTTACCTCCTGAACTTCTAAAACATGCCTTACACTCTCCCTCACTCCTACCTATACCCATCTCACACACGTACCCCAAACGACTGTGTTTGTGTCACAATAATGCCCAGTTTTTCAACAATCTCCTTACTAATGAAATTGTGGGAAGCCCCACTGTCAATCAAGATAATCACCTCCTGACCCATAATATTCCCTTTCAACTTCAAGTTTTTGGGCCATTGATCCCAACAACCGAGCTCAAAGAGAGTTCAACATTACCTTGGCTTTGTTCCTCCATCGTTGCTTCACTGATTCAGTCACCCGGACCGGATCTTCTTCTTCTCCTCACTAGAATTACTTGAAATTGCTTCTCACCACTTATGACCAAAGAAATACTCCATCCACTTGAAGCACAAGCTTTTCCCTTTTTCGCTGTATTTCTGCCTCTGTCATCTTTCGGAAAGGGAATTCGCGTCGTGGAGGCTGAACTCTGTCGAAGGACCTGAAGGTTGTGGACGCATTTTCGCGAGGGGAGAATGAAGCGATGAACCCACGACAGACTGAAGCGATGAACCCATGGTGTTACTCTCTGCGTTTCGTCGTCCCACGTTGGAGAAGGAATTTGAAAATGCGTTTGACTTAGGGATTCATTTGAATTTGGGAATTTGAGTGAATCGGGTCGGGTTGTAATTGGGTTAACATTTGGTGTAAAATTTTGGATCCAAGTTACTTAACAACATGAAGACCAGGTCCATTCACTTATTGGTTCTTGCTGGGCCACTCTTTGCCTCCTTAAAGCCCAGCTGCGCTCCTCCACTCTATGGGCTCTCTCTATGATTTGAGAAGTGTGTTGGGCTGGATCAGTCTTAATTCAGCCCTAATCTCTGCCCTAAGTCCATTCAAAAACGCAGCACAAGATCCTCCTTTCTCTCCACTAAAAAAGCCGCGACAGCCTCAAATCTGCGTTAAATTCAGCAGCTGTACTAGTTTGTTTCATGGCCATGAGAGTCTCGTAAGGGTTGCTTTCTTGGACCACTGAACCTCTGAATTAGAGCGAGCTTGAATGATGGCCATGAGTTAACTGGTGCTCTGACCTCCATCCACTGACAGTTAATAGCTTCCCTTCCATACATACTGCTGCAGCTGTGAGTTTCCCTTCATCTGGAATTCCATTTAAACTAAAGTACCTCTCAATTCTGAAAACCACCCATACGGATCTTCACCAAAAAATGGGTAACTCAAGCTTGCGTCCTCCTACTTCACTCTGATTGCTGAATTTCCGATCTACTGGTTGCATTATGGTTCTCCCCATCCTGATTTTCACGTTCCTGGATGTTGATGGTTCACCTCGCCCAGCTTCTTCTTCATCTTTCGTCTATCCAGCTTGAATCTCAACCATGCACTCACGAATCGTTCCCATGTCAACCCCCAATTTCGTCACTTCTTTTTTCCACATTTTTTTAGATTCCATTCTCGTTGCTACCATTACCCACACGCGTGCTCTGATACCAAATTGTTGCGAACCTACTCTGTTTTGTTACTCAATCATCCACAATTTTCCAACATCAAGTTACTCAAACAGTGATTGTAAATATCTATCATTCAGAATCTCTAATATGTAATTCCTGGAAAATCTGAGTTACATTCAAGTATGGATACAACCCAAATACCAGAGTTTAATTAACAAACAGCAAGGAAAATATGAAACTAATACGCTGGACTTCGAGGGCCAGCTACCTCCCCTTTTCTCAATTCTTCTCTGATGCCTTTTTAACCTCTGCTGCTCCCTTTTATTCACTCCTTCCTAACGGAATTTCAGTTTCAGCCTCTTATCTGTTGCCACCTGTTGCCACCTGTTGATTCCACTTTGCTTCTCTCCCACTTTAGTTGTTCCCTTTATCACAATGATTCCCTGCTGCCTTTCCCACGCTTCTTATTATAAACCTCACTTCACGTGTTGTATCACCCTCCCAAATGGTTTCTCTCGTAATATACCCTGTTTGAGTTTTTGCTTACTGTAATTAACTCTAGTATACCTTTTTAAGTGGAATGATAGTATTAGAACATTGCTATTATCTTAAGAGAACTGTCTTCAATGGGGAAGCTGCAATATCTGAATAGCAGTAATGTTCCATACTCTTTTTTTTATTTGGGGTTCGATAGGATTTGTTCTATTTTATTCTTTAGAATTTTTCAGAATTTGTTGATCAATCCTCTGGAGTTTTTGTATGATGACATCTTTATGTGCTTATAAATCATTTTTTTCTGTATGTAATAGATTTATCTCTTTCTTCTAGAAAGTAAGATCTTCCTTACCACTATGATCATGTGCAATTAATGAATTCAGTTAATTCGACTTGCTTTTCAAGCATCTTTCTGTTTATAAATGTCATCAACTACTTGGTTGTTGTTAGTTTAACCCATATGCTTTTTGCCAGTGCTATCAGAATTATTATGTATTGCCTTACCACCTCTCTACAAGTGGTTCGGATCAAGTTGATCCTCTTTTTTGACTGACTCTCGTTTAAATTAACAGATGTTTGATTAATTAGAGCCTTTCAATGAATTTTTTATAGGAAAAACCCTTTAATTATGAAATGGGTTCTGTGATGATGATACTGTGATGGTTGTGTAGGAGATTTTGTTAGCCTGGAGTGGCAGTTTAAGTGCACTATGTTCTTGTTTGTGCATGATGATCTTCCTATTTTGTTGATGACATATCATTTCTGAGGCAAAATTTGTGGTTTTGAAACAATCAACTTCTTGAAATTAGTCTTATTTGTTGTGTTGTGCTTGGTTTATTTTTATTTTTTCTTTCTTTATTCATTTATTTTTCTTACTCTATTCTTTTTGGGTCAATTTCATTAGTGTCCCTGAGGTGTGGCTAAAATATGGGTAAACGTCCTTGATTCAAAATTTAGAACCCTCTTTTTATAGAAAATTATTATAAATCTGCCCTAAACTTCTTGGAAACCTCCCCTGAAGGTTTTTAAAATTTTAAAAATCATAAATTTTTTATAGACACGTTATTTAATTATAGTAATAATTTAATAATAAAAAATTGAAAAACTATAATTTGTTTATTACCTGCTTCATAGAGGATGGAATTTGAGGCAGTTTCAGTAATATAAATTGTAATGCACTTTGCTTCAGGATTTTATTGATAAAATTTTGCATTGTATATAAATCCAAAAAATATCTAGTGTTGATTAAGCTATAAATTTACTGTTAAAACTTGACTTCATAAAATTTGTTATAACGTATCTTGTAGGAAGGTTACTGGGTAAAAACTAAACAAAGGGGCTTTCCCTGTTTTTAGTCAAACCCAAGTTGATATTGAAAATATTCTTTCTTTTCTAAATTAGAATAAAAAAAATCAATAGTTCTCTACTGCATCGGGCGTAATATTCTTCCCTGATATGGAAAGTAAATATGCTCCACATCACGTGTAAGTGGCATTTTTTATTTTTTTTTTTCAAAAATTTAATCTATTCCATTGTTTACTAATTACTATCTTTGAGGCCTGCGCTCTTTTTCTTTTACCTTGCTACTATTGTAATTTGGATTAAGGGTTTCTTCTGTTAGTGCAAAGTATGGATAGTATAAATTTTATTTGTATTGATAAAACTATTGTTTTTTATTGACTTTCTGCTTTTCCCTAATTTTCTTCCAGTCTGAAGTATTCGCTGTTGCATTTGCACTACTTGCCGCAGGTGCTGTGATATTGACATTGAACGTGCTGCTATTGGTAATGGCTTTCTCTTCATGTGTTGGTGTCTGTGTGCACATTGACATTAACTAAACGTTACTAAAATTTGGGTCAAAAACAATTTACTCAAGCTTTTTTTTTCTCTGTTGAAAGTTTGAGCATTTCGGTCATGTTTTCGTGGAATAAATATAAAATTTGGAAAATGCAAAATGCATGCAGACATGTTAACAATATGACTTTGACTAAGGTGAAAAACTACATTGTTACAGGGTGGGCACATAATATTCTTCCAGAGTCTGAGTCTTCTGGGTTATTGTCTATTCCCACTTGATGTTGGAGCCTTGATCTGTATGTTGAAGGACAATGTGATAGTGAAAGTGGTTGTGGTGTGTGTGACATTGGCTTGGAGCTCATGGGCTGCCTATCCTTTCATGAGTTCAGCCGTGAACCCCAGGAGAAAAGCCCTTGCGCTCTACCCTGTCTTCCTCATGTATGTCTCTGTGGGTTTTCTTATCATCGCCATTGATTAATGAAATGATGCTGCCCATTATAGGGGATTCCCATACCCAATTGTAAGTCATCCATCTATATAGGAATTTTGTATGTTGGTCAATTTTTTTCCCATGTTAATCTATTTTTTGACCCCTACTTCTGACTTAATATGTTTGGAGACTTGAACTTTGAAATATTATACTTTGTATGAAAGAAACTCCTGGGTGGCTCTGCGCTTCATTCTTTCATATCATATGGTTTGAGTCTTGTTTTAGGTTAGTGTAGCCAAAGTTTGGGGCGTGTTGGTAATCAAATAGTAAACTTCCTCTTAAAGAGTTTTTGATTAATTATATATATATATATATATTTCTTCACAAATAAGTATTTTTCATTCCAAAATTGTTTGCGGTTACTGCTTTAGTCCCCTGTCAAATGGTCTTCATTTTGAAGTAATTGAACTGATCTTGCCAATTATTGTTAAAATGGAGTTATGCTTGATAAATGATTATGTGTGTGTGTGTTGTTACCTAATGGTTGTTATTCATCGAAAGGATGTAAATCACAGACTGACATGAAATGAAACCTCTAGTGTCTTTTTCAACCTTCAATTGGTGAATGGTTAAATCTCTTTAATTATTATGCATGTCAGTTGTACTCCGCACTTGATATTTTATTTAACTAATTACATTTTCACCACTAAATTAAATGTAGTTGATAAATGAGGTGTTGTTAAGAGTGAAAAAGAGGTGAACGTGATTTACAGATGTTGTCAATCATGAATTAATGGTGGCCATCAGTGATAGGAAAGAGCAAACATGGGCACTTGGTTTCAAATGGAGACCAATGAATCCTCTGCTGGAAATCTTCTCCAGTGCTTTGACAGGATGAATTTGTAACACAATCAACCAGTTCGAAAGTCGTTTCTATTTTAAATAGACACTATCTAATCGTTTCATCATCGAGAATTAAGTATTGAAACGATTCCCTTGATCCATCCTTCAATATCCAATTATCCATAGAACCCTAGTCTATGTCACTATGAAATTTAAAAAAAAAATTCATCTGAAATATACATCTTCACTTGAGTGCTAAAATCAACAATCCCATCCATAATATAGATAGAAAATAAATAAACAAAATTCAGAGTGGTTCCAACATATATCTCTTCCTCCAAAGCAAGATTTCTCCATCTATTCCATCCTCAAGAGGTTTCTATCAACTTATTACTTACTGGCCTCCGATAGGACATCCTTCTTTCAGCCATGGTAACAAGCTCGGTCTGCTGCAGTCAACTCTGATTAAGCAAAACCTTTTAAAAAGAAAAAACCACTAACTAGAGCAATGCTTTCTCTAAATAAATAACTTTTTCAGTTTCCTCATTTAAAAATAATATAATTAATGAAGACTAAAAGAATATAACTGCCTTTCCATCCTCGACAAAAGAAAGAAAAATATTATTTGGTACATCTTGTCAAATTGGCAGGCCTCAATTTGTTGTTCTTATTATTTCAGGCAACTGGTTGTTTTAAAATTTCCTTTCTAAGATAAGCAAGCAGGTGAATAAAGTAGAACAACTAATTCCTAGTCAAATAAAAAACTCCTATGTATTTGCATTCAACCTCATCCACATACTATAACTGACAAAAAATGGCACAGGGTCTCATTCTACCTTCAAAATTCCAGAAAGACATGAGTCCGTATTTTCAGTGTTCCAAAATTTTGATCTTCTCAAGACAATTTTGCATGTGCTGAGCAGTATCAGCAGAGAGGCGTGATCCTGCCACAAGCTTGTAATGTTCAAACTTCAACGTCTCACACTTCAAGGCAGCCTCCTTACAGGCCTTGATACTCCCACTTAGATCCAATAAATTAAATAGCACTGGGCAGTTTCCAATACTTCTAGCCATAGTAATTGCAGACCAAACTTTCTGGTAGTCCTCCCTAGAGGCTCTGATGATACAAACTTTTGTTATATGATTCACATACTTGACTTGAAATGATCCAAGCATAGAAGCTAAACCACACTCTCCAAAGTTGACAAGAATATTATCTTTGATTGCTTTTGACACATTAAATTGGGTAAGTATAATGGGATCACCATCAAGAAGCTCTCTATTTGGGTCCAAAAAGACCTCCATTACCATATACCTATTTTTAAATCCCACCATGATGCTTTGTTGGGTCGCACTTTCTTAAATAAACAAAATTTGAGGGAGCTCCCAACTGTCTTTGTTGTTGACTGTAACTGCGAATTCCAAATCAAATACTCTTCAATAAACTGAATTATTTAAAAAAAAAAAAAAAAAAAAAAAATCAATCACACACAGTACATTTGTAACGTTAAACTAGAATTTAAAACAAAATATAATCTATAGATATTAAAGGTTCAATGCTCAATGTTATATGGGTCATGCAACAAGTAGGAAAAATCCTTACCCAAAATAATACCCAGTATAAGCAAACAGATAAATAACTGGAATTGATAATTACAAGTATACAGGTCCAAATTCAAGATACCCTACTCTGTGTCACATTAAACAATAAAAAGAATAACTTTCATGTGCACTGGCAGCCACTACAAATAACAGTGAGCATGCGAAGCCTGTGATACTGTCTGAGATCAAGCAATTGATCAATAACACCATGGCCATGGGTAGTGTCACAGATGTTTTCACTTAAATTAGACCATCTATTTGGAAACATGCCCAATTCATTTTTTTTCTTTAATAAAAAGAAATACCCCACGACATATGCACCCAGTCCGGAACTGGAGACTAGTGCCAGAATATTCTGAATGCATTCAAGATACAATGGCAATGATATCACTGTCTTTTTGTCTATATAAATATCGTCAATTTGGACAAATCTAATAATACGTATTTCAGAACAAACTAATTACATATTCCACAACAAACACAAGCAATCACAGTCACTCATCTCAAAATTTGAAATTGCAAATTTTCCAGGACTCAAAAATTTAGATATCATATTAACTTCTAACTGAAATAAGGGCATGTTTACACCACGGATAAAGATAAATAACAAGCATATATGTTTCCTTTTGCATATGAAAACTCATTATTCACCTCTAATATGGCAACAAAAATAGATTTCCCATCCATATCTTACACATCTCCTCCCACCTAATCAGCCTCTATAAATAGATAAACTCGCCCTCACTAATAAAAAATTTGATAAATCACCCAGAATCACCTCACAAACAAAAAAATTTTGAATAACCCAGAGAGAGATAAGAGCAAAGAGATTGAGAGAAGTCTTTGCTGTGTGTATCAGGGTATGTTGTTGAGTTTGTATGAGTATGTTACCTAAGCAAGCGGCGGTGAAGACGTGGCTCTGGAGAAGCGGCGACGGTGGAGACGCGGAGTTGCGTTTGTATGTGACTCAAGTTTTCAGATTTGGGTGAGTGTAAGAGATGAGAGTGAGTTAGGGCTTTCAAGTTGTTCGGTTCATGGTTGTTAGTATCCTACGATACCCGATACATATCATATGATACGATTAGATACAGATCGCTAACGATATGTATCAGGGAGTATATCCTAAATCATTAGATACGTTGATATGTATCCTACGATACGATACGTATCCGTTTGTATCCTTAAAAATATCGATATAAATCGATACGATTTTATTAATTTGGGCCAAAGATCCAAAAAAAATTCGGGTCGAAACCGGGTCACCTAACCTGATTCACTAAAACCTGTTCAAATTTACCTATTTTGCATGGAGAAAGTGAAGAGGAATATGTATTGCCTATTTTATATGATAATAATAATATAAGTGGAGATATAGATATTGACATTGATTTTAGAATTTTGTGATTAATTTTGATTATGTAATACCGTAATTTAAAGTCAATAATACCACAAAATTTTTTAATTAATCTTAAAAATTATATTAATTTTTAGAAAATTTTGATTATTTTATTAATTTTTTTGAAAAAGGCGTATCTTACGATACGCGATACACGATTCAAAAAATTAGGTTTTCGATACACGATTTAATAACCATGGTTCGGTTTGGGTTTTTTTTTTTTCAATTACCCGCCTCGCCCGTTTTCAAAACAGTCCGGGCCGATTACGGGTCAAAAAGGGTTCGGTGAGTTCGTTCTTGATCCGGATACGGGTCTATCCGCGGGTCTAAACCCGTTTTGTCAAGTCTAAAATATTGAGGAATGTCTGTTGTGGTGAGCGGGTCTAGATACCCGTCCAATTTCAAATCCGGTCCCTTAATTCCTAGAACCGGACGGTATTACAAACCCGCCTACTGTTTAAAAAAATGACAAACATACCAGTGAAATTTACAATACACCCCCAAAATTAAAATTACATATAATTGTTTTCTCTCTCCTCCCTCGTTATTTCCTCTAATTCTCCTCGTCAGCTCTTCTCTCACTTGGACTCTACACATGATCTGCACCACTCGCAAGTTTGATTTTGGTAAGCCAGTACTCAATAGTAACTGCAGCCATTTACTGAGCAAAAGCAAGAATTACAACATGTGATTAATAAGTGGAGGTGAAGCTATCAACCCAATCTCTTTTTAAGTAACTTTTCTTATGTGTAAGTAATCAATTGGTAAGCAAGCGGCGGTCGGTGGAGACGTGGCTCTGGAGACTGGAGAAGCGGCGACGGTGGAGACGCGGAGTTGCGTTTGTATATGACTCAAGTTTTCAGATTTGGGTGAGTAAGTGTGAGAGATGAGAGTGAGTTAGTGATTTAATTTCTTGACTATTAATTAGCATTCATATTTAATTTTTTAATGAATTGCTTTAATTTACAAAAGCTTTAGCTCTTTACCATCTTTGTCCAAACACGTGCCATCCCTTACCTTTACCTCACCACCACCACCGTCTCAAACACCTCCAATGCTTCCTCCTCATTCTCTGTCTCCTCAACACCTAGATTGGCCGGCTTCCTCTCTCTTCACTTTGCCTTATCCCCAAAATTAAAATTACATACAATACTTTTTTTTCTCAGGTTGTATGGTTGATTTTGCTGGTTTGGATGTCTGAACCCGTTTTGCTGATCTAAATTATTAATATTTGAGGTATGTCTCTTGTTGTTGGATTTTATCGGGTTTATTGTAATTAAGTCCTCTTCTTTTATATCTCCCCCAATTCGTTTTTCCAAACGAACAAACAAATCGAAATCGACCCACATAATATTTTCAATCAAATTGTCTGAATAACAAAGAAAGAAGAAAACTTTCTGCTAAACAGGTCAGCATCGCTTCTGGGTTGGATTATCTTTTCCTTACTGGTATTTTTTTTTTTCTTTATTTCATTCTTTTTCTTTGAATTTGTCTTGTTGTTTTTAGTCTAGTTTTAGCTGAATGGGATCTAGAAATTAGTTCTAATTAGTTAGATCTGTTTGGTTGCTATGAAGATTTTAGGAGTTTTATGCCTTAAGGTGTACAGATTTTGAGCTATTTTGTTAAGTTTTGGAGACAGTTTAATTTGATTTATTACATTACCAAACATCAAACTTGAAATTTTTATTTCTTTCATTTATCATTCTGTGCTTGAAATTAGTATTTTGATCAGAGTTGGGTAGATTATGAGATAGTCAAATCAATGTTTAGTTCCTCAGAAACCTGCTGGTTGTAAATTTAATTCGTTCTTTATTTACCATTTTGTTTGTGAAATGGGTTTTCTGGTTCTCAAAGATTATAGGTTCTTGTGAGGTATAATTTGTAGGGTCAAACTTGAACTTGCTAAGTGGGTTCGGGAGATTTTCTTTGTAATTTCTTGAAAATAAGAAAAATCTGCTGCTAGATTTGTTGTCATTTCTTCCAATGATACCATCTTTTCCTTAAATTTGTCCAAAGAATGAAACCTTTTTAAAATTTTATCATTTGTCTTTGTGATCACTGAACAAAGTGCGAAAANGGTTGCTGTGAAGATTTTAGGAATTTTATGCCTTAAATTGTACAGATTTTGAGCTATTTTGTTAAGTTATAGAGACAATTTAATTTGATTTATTTCATCACCAAACATCAAAGTTGAAAATTTTAATTCTTTCATTTATCATTTTGTGCGTGAAAATTAGTATTTTGACAGAGTTGGGTAGATTATGATTTATTCAAATCAATGTTTAGTTCCTAAGAAACTTGCTGGTCGTAAATTCAATTCGTTCTTTATTTACCATTTTGCTTTTGAAATGGTTTTTCTGGTTCTCAAAGATTATAGGTTCTTGTGAGGTATAATTTGTAGGGTCAAACTTGAACTCGCTAAGCGGGTTCAGGAGATTTTCTTGGTAATTTCTAGAAAATAAGAAAAATCTGTTGTTAGATTTGTTGTCATTTCTTCCGATGATACCATCTGTTACTCAAATTTGTCCAAAGAATGAAGCCTTTTTAAAATTGTTGTCATTTGTCTTTGTGATAACTGAACAAAGTGTGAAAACAAGATCAAGTTTTTTATCAGCCATCTGCAATTCTCAGTCAACAAACGTTTTTTTCTTGTTTATCTTATAGATCGAATATCTTGGCTTTGTCAATTTAGCGAAGATCTCGCCTATTTTAGTTTGATTCATATTGTGGATTCACATTTACAAATTCTTTTGTTTGTAGGTAAGAGAGCAATGAACTGGGTTCAACGCAAGGTCTATCTCTATAATGTCACATTTGGACTTTACATGTTGGATTGGTGGGAGCGTTATCTTTTCAGTATCCTCATTTTTGTTCTTCTTTAACGGATATAATATGTTTATTCCCCTCCCTAATTTTAGCCCAAGCTATACATAGTTCCATATCTTATTAATTTGCATGTTTCTTTAGTTTTTATCATCCAATTTACTCAAAATGGTTGAGATTTGCCTGCTCTTGTAAGAGTTTTTTTGCTAATTTCACTCATTTAATATTGCATTTTTGAGTTCCTAAACTTTGATAGATATTTTGGTGATTGTGCTGATGTGGTTCATCTTTTACAATAGTTCACGATATGTGACTGAATTTTTCAAAAGGTAACTCTAATAATGTTGTCTCTGCTTATATTTTATCAAAGAGTTGGGCATTTTTTGCACATTGACTTTCCAGAATCTAGTTAGTGTGTGAAAGTTGCGAGAATCTAGCTAGTTTTTGTTATAGTTCTGATATGCATAATTCCCTTATATATTTTGTCTAGATTTGGTTAAATCAGTGCCATCTTTATGATAGAAACCAAACTAATGTGTGCGTTTGTGGAAGACTCAAAACTAAGATGCTTCACTTACTAATAATGCAACGATCTAGGCATTACATATTCGAACAAGTTAATTAATTTACAATCTCAATTTTTATCAGGACTAGCTAGGAAATTATCCATTGTTTATTAATGTCTGTGCTACTATTCTGTGTAGTTATGATACATTTGGACTGCATTCAAATATGGTCTTGAGAGCCTCTGGTAGCACAGCTGAGACAGTGACGGGTTCTCTGTAATGTTCTATATCATAAGTTATCTTCCATGGTTTATCATACGAACATGCATCCTGGTTTTTAAAGATTTGAATTTAGTTCAAATTTTAGGACGATACTGCATGCTGAAAATATGAAAAATTAGTTTTATAGTTATTCTGTTGCTCTTTTAGAAAGAAAATTTGCATAAGCAATTAAGGAAAAATAATAATTTTTATATGCCTTTAAATCACTAAGCCATTATGAGACTTCCTCAGAATTAAATAGAGCATAATAAATATAAGAGTGTCCTGTAAGAAATCCTATTTTTTGTTTAGTTTGCCTTTCTAAATATACCTTCGATATTAGCCTTAATTCTTCTCCATGATATAGGTACTGGGCTGAAGATGTTGTCAGCTCGCCGTCTACTTTATCATGGAACTATGTTAACTGTTCAAAGTTTTTACTGTGCATGATTTCTGTCCCTCATTCTATCTTTTCTGTGTCATGCTATGTTCTTTTTTTTTCCCCTATTTTTTTCCTCTCTCAGTGTTAATTTGATCATGTGGTACAGCAAGAAAAAATTTATGTTGAATTAATTGAATGTTATTATGCTGCTTGTCATGGTGCGTATGTGTCTGAATTAAGTAATTGACTGTACTTGAAGGAGGCAAAGACTGGAAATTACTGACTGTAATCTGATTTGATATTGTACGATTTAAGTTTCACGACCATGTTGAATCTCTGTTCTGCATAGAATTCTATACATACCCCTTATATAAAGGAACAAAAACAGATAAATGTCGACTTTAGAGCTCGGTTTGTGTCTTGTTTTGTTCTATACCCATTTAAAACTTCGGCAAGGTTTCCAGTCTGTCACTAACGAAACCGTATCATGATACTACTGATTTTTTATTGCTGGTGCACTGTTTATTTCTTAGCAACTCTATAATTATGGGTGACAAAATGTCTTCACTCTTCACTATCTCATGCATTCTTTTCATTGTACTTCAGGCATTTAACATGAGTCTCAAATAGCTGCTTCAGCTTGAAACTGTGGCAATGGATGTGCAAGCACAAAAATTTCAAATATGCTTCGATGGGTGCCATCGATCTGGTTTTAATTAGGAACTTCTGTTTTTGCAAAAGCAATTGTGCATGTTTTGTATTGATTGTATACCTAGCCATAAGGATTTTGTTGTAATTTATGTACTTCTTGGCCACCCTGTATTTTTTATTTTTTATTTTTATGCATTTTTTATAGTACAATTATCATAAGAATTCTGAATTTGTTTTGTATTTATTGAAAGTTTTCAGTGCAATAACTTGATTAGCTTGTTCTTATAAACTGTTGATAATCTTCCCTCTGCAGAAGGTTACCTCTCAAAGCATCGTATGTTATAAGCTCTATCTTCAATGGAGAATTGGTTGAATTTTTCTTAGTAGTAGGGTGTTCTTTTGAGGAAAAAAAGAAAATTATTTAGTTTGGGTCAGCTATGATTATGTGTAACTTTTATTTTTTAAGTAATCTAGGGAATTTATTTAATGTTTTCATTTTTTTTATTGGTTAGATTTTAAGTTTTGGGTTGTTTAATCAAACAACGGTCGGACTTGCCGGTCTAGGCCTGGGGCTTTTTTTTTTATTTCCCCAAAAGTGCAAGCTCCGGTCTAGGAAAAAGCGGTGATTTTACAAAGCCTAGCCAGGATTGGCTTGTCTGGGTGTCGGGTTTGGTTGATATGATGAGGGGTTTTAGAAATTCTACTTGATAGGTGGGGTAGAGTAATTTATGGGGTTATTCGTAAATTTATAGAGTTAATGACATAATAATGACAAAAATCCCCTTGAGGTTTTGAAAATAACATAAATCTCCTTGTTGTTAAACTTTAGGTGTTAAAATAACGAGGATAATTTGATAATATTTATTAACTGATAACAATATAAATTGTAACAGTCCATTAATGGTAAACGGTTTTTTGGTATTCCACAAATCTCAAGGGATTTTTGTTATTAAATTATAACTCATGAGAATGAATGTTATTAACTCAATTTTTTATCATGAAAGTACCAAAATGTAGTTTTTAGGGGGCTGTCTATCATTTTTTTAAAAGATTTTTGAAATTTTATATAGGAGGCTATTTATAATTTTTTATAACCTCTTATAATACACCCTGGGTCGGGTTTTCTTAATATCCCAATTAGTATCTATTAACATCATCTATCTTATTATCCATGTATTTATCTGAAAAAAGTAAAATGAAATATAAAATTGTCAACAATGTTCAATACAATTTTTAAAGCATGTTATTTAATATTCTTCTAAATAATTTACAAATTTGAAAAGCTTAACGTATTTAAACACATTATACCATATGGCACCAATGACATTCCAAAAACATTTATACATCCCACTTTCCAGTAAATGTAAGCGTCCAATAAATTCCAATAATATTTGTGGATTCTAATTCCAATAAATATAAATAAACTATGGAGTGATACTATTAGCAGTCCACCAATTCTCTATTAAGCCCTCAATTGAAAAATAATTTTTGTTACATATTTATCCTTTGATGAAATTACTAGAAAGTATATATATACTTTCAAGTCGAAAATACCCACTCATAAGGATTTTCTTGTAATTTATTTACTCTTCTTTGTTTTTGTTTTTTTTTTTTTCTTTTTTATAATACAACTCTCATAAGTTAAAGGTTTCAGGAAATAATAATTTTATCTGGCGTTTTATGATATTTTGGATGTTTAAGAAAAATGATAGTTTTATATTATTTGAAAAAAGCTTAAACAAATAATCAAAGAGATAAAATTTTATCAATAACTTTTTCATATAACTTTTTTATACAACCCTGAGATGGTAGTTCACGATTGATCAGTTTGCATTTGGACAAATATGATCCACTGGTAGTTCACGGTTGATCAATTTGTATTTGGACAAATAGGATCCACTACAAGCTGATCAATCATGAGTTACCACATCAAGATTATATAAAAAAATTGTAAAATAGTGCTGCCCAAAATCTATTTATTCAGTTTCTCCTAACATTAGCTGTACAATAAACACGATCTTTTACAAGCTGGACTAAAATATTAGCCTTCAACTCTATCTAACAGTAATCCAGTCTTCCGATGACCAAAACTCAGTTTCAGGTTCCTGCAACGTTACCATTCTGGTTTTTCTGCCGCAAAGCCTGGTTGAAAATGGGTTTTTTTGATGTAATTCATTGTTTTTTGTACTGTCAGATTCATCCGAATCATAATCCTCTTCAATTGTTCCAACATCTAAAACACTTGATGGTGAGCATACACATTTTTCTGACGGATTCTTCACAAAATTCTGAGAAATAAACGGATGGTTAAGCAGCTCCTCTGCCGTCCACCTCTCTTTCGGATTCCTCTCCAGGCATTTCTCCAAAAAATCCAGGCCCTCTTCCGGGAAGTCTGCAGGAAACTGAGGCTTCTCGCTGCTGCAAGCAATCTTCAATACTGCGGTCAATAGATTCGAAATTTTGTCCCCCCATGGAAGCCTCCCCGTTGCCATTTCGATAACCAGGCACCCCAAGGACCAAATATCTGAAGTGAAATCCAATCCTTCATTTCTCAGAACCTCCGGAGCCATCCACAGAGGAGTTCCCCCAACAGATTGCCAAGAAAATGTTGTCAAGTCCCCATTTCTTTTGAAGTCCTTTAATCTTTTCGCACATCCAAAATCCGCCAATTTAACATTCCCATTTGACTTCAAGAGAACATTCTTGCATTTCAGATCACAATGCACTATCCCATTACCATGAAGAAACTTCAGACCATGGAGAATCTCTCTGGTGTACAACCGAACCACTTCTGAATCCAAAGTTCCTCCAAATTTTTCTGCTACATCCGATAGGCTTCCCTCCGTCATGTACTCCATGAAAATATCAAGTGTTTGTCTACCATTTCTTTCCTTCAAGAAATCCCTCCCGAGGCACTGAACAATGTACGGCGAATCCAAGCTTTCCAGAATGCTGGCCTCATTCTGCAAAGCTTCAACTCCAGCATCAGAAACTGCAGATTTCACAACAAATAGTGAACCTGTAGATTTGTTCATAGCCAAATGGACAGTGCCAAAAGATCCGGAACCAATCTGTTTACCCTTCATCCATTCACCGACTTGAGGACACGAGCACTGCTGATCTGAAATCATTTCGTTCGTTTTCATCGATCAGCAATGGATAATAAATATCGTGTTTAATTTTCTCGACTGAATCAAGTACAAAAACCTCGACTCACCTTTCGAAACTCTTGATCTTTGTCTAAGCATACAGCTTTCAAATTCTGCAGCATTCAAGAAAGAAACAAAAAAAAAATTACTTGTCTACAAACCCTATAATTCAATATCAAGAGCGGTTTCCTGAGGACCAGAAAACCGCCCCTGATAGATAAAAAATTCTTACTTCACTAAGCAAAGAATTGTTAATATGTTCTTGTACGACTTGCTACAAATTTTAATTCAAACAAAAAACAGAGAAAGTAATTCTGAAGAAAAGCTTGAATCTATATATAGGAAGTTGTGGAAAAGTCAATATGGTTAGTGATCCAAGACTTTTGGTATGCCTAAATATAACTGTAATAGTTTTTTCAGGACATTTTGTTGTTATTATAGATTGTAGGGATTATTAATTACTTTTTAATTTTATTATTTTTTATTTTTTATAATTTGAGAGGAGGGTATTATAGTAGACATCAATAAAATAAAAGTAAAATAAAATCTGGAGCCATCAGTTTAATATTAATAGGTAAGCCACTAAATTCTGGAGGCATCTATTTGATGACAAGGGATGGTTTAGAGATTGATAGGAAGGGCAAAAATTAAACTCTACAACACCCTCTCAAAAAATAGTACTAAGCTTCTAATTTTAGCCATAAAAAGTATTTTAAAAAAATATATTGTACATAAATGCGCCCCAATTAAGCTTTTTCTTTTTTCATGCTTCAATCTTTCTCACTTTTTTCCTTTCCTTGCTAAGGTAAAGAACAACACCTCCTGAACTTGTAAATATCATTTATATAAAGTTTTTAACCATAGGGGATAGCTTGAGGGAGTTCTTACAGTAAAACTTTTAATAGCTAGCAGGGACTACAGAATTTTCAGGGTCTAAAATCAGCCATGGCTTGTAAATTGCTGAAGTAGTTCCACAGAGAATTCGCTGGCTCTGAAGAAATCATTAGCATTATATTTCAAACACATGAAGATTCACTGATTCTCAGAAAAGAGAGAGAGAGAGAGAGAGAGTTTCCGCAGCTGGATGAAGCTTTTGTAGTTCAAAGAAAGGCCTCCTCCTGATGAGGAGTCTGCTTTACCACTAACAAATTTGTATCTGAAAACTTCAAAGTGGCTTTTGGACCGGATATTGTGGAAGCTAGTTCAGATATTCACCATACTTTTCAGAGATGGGTCTTGAGGAATGTAGACGAACGAAATGGGGATCTCAAAGCCATGTCTTGAAGAGAGAAGTTGAGGGTTCTCGTAAGGAAAAAGCATGTCACGTGTGACCGGACGCATTGCATCTCTTTATGGATTTTTTACTAGAAGTTTCTTGAAATTTTAGCTCAGTTCTATTTATTCATTTTTTTTTTAAAAAAAAAACCAAACCCTATGATCCAACAATTTAAACTCTAGAAGATTATCGAAAGTACATATCAAAACAAAATAAGACTTTTATCAAGTTCATAAGAGCTTGTGATTCACCTGGTTGCTAATTTGAAAAAGGGTCAAAATTTGTCGTTCCATTCCTGTTTTGGCGGTTAACAGCTTTTACTCTTGATTTCCTGTTTTAGAAAATTTAGCAGAAAGTAGGAAAAAACCTCCACTCTCACGACCATGCTGTCTTTTTTTTTTTTTTTTTTTTTTTTTGTAAACCTTCTCTGTTTTAGTTTCTTCTTCTCTCTGCAACAGGGGTCATCTCAAAAACTTAGACTACGTTAGGTACATAATTTGGGAAAAAACTTTATAGTTTTTCCCAACAAAGTTAAACGAAAAATTTGTTTTTGGTTCACTTTCTCAAAATATATTTTATATTTTTTAAGTTTCTTTTAAACCCATAATTTGTTGTTAGTTTGGACAAAACATAATCCAAATTTTTTTTAAAAAAATTGAATAAAAAACCACCCCAGCAACCCATATTACCAGGATCCAGCCAACACTATCGAAGTAGCCGGAATCTAGTGTATGGCGCAACTACCGACTGATAATCTGACCGGTAGTCCGCCGATCTAACCTTTTCTGGCCAAATCCACAGTGGAGCTGGCCGAAAAGGCCAGATCTACGACCAAAGACAGTCAGAATCTTTGGCGTTTTGTGGTTCTGAAGTTGTCAACGAGGCCAAGATTATTGGTTGTGTCGTGACATCAATGACGGCTGTATTTCGGCCGTCATTGACGACCAAAGGCAGCCAGATCTGGCCGAAAAAAAGGCCATATCGGCGCACGACCGCAGATACCAGCCGGATCATGCGTCTATACGGTGACTCCGGCCACCCTTCGGTGGTGATGGCCGACTGTCCGTATTTAATGGGTGGGTTGAGGATGTTTTTGTTAACTTTTAATATTTTATTATAGGGGTATTTAGTAAATAAACAAACATAAGGGGTATTTTTATTAATTTTCAAATTCTACATCGTAATACCCATCCAGTTTAACTTTTTTCAAAATATTATTCTAAAAACTCTCAGAACAATGAACCAAACGGACCCTTAATTTTTTAAGGGAGACTTTTAATAGCTAAACAAGCTTAACAATTTTTCAGGGTCTAAAATCAGTCGAGGCTAGTAAATTGCAGAAGTAGTTCCACCAAGAATTTGTTGTTCTGAAGAGATCATAAACATTATGGGGGTGTTTGTCTAAGCTTATAAGCTGGTCAAACTAGGTTATAAGCTTTAAAATTAAGTTGACCTGTTTGTTTATAATTTTTTTGAGTTTATAAGTTAAACTTATAAGCAAAAAAAAAAATAAGTTGGGAGGGAGGTACTTTTTTTTTTTTTTTGCTTATAAGCATTCTCCTTATGAGCTAGTTTGAACAAATATATTACCACATTGTCCTTGTTTAATTTTAAAATTTCATAGTATACCCTTATTTAATGTAGTACCATTTTTAGTTATTTTATAATAAAATGTACTTATAAACCACATTTTATCAAACACGTCAACTACTTATCAGTCACTTATAAGTACTTTAATCAAACACGTAATTGCTTAAAATTTCAAATGCTTATAAGCTAAAAAATTAGCTTATAAGTATTTGTTGCTTATAAGCTAATTTTCATAAGCTCAGACAAACACCCCCTATATTTCAAACAAATGAAGGTGTTTACTAAACCTTCTTCCTATCATAACCAAAATAGAGGATTTAAGATACTGGATCAACTTTTGCAGGATTCTACTCTTAAAATGCTTCATACCCACTAAATTTTTATCAAGGAAACTTCAAATTCGCTTTCGGACCAAAAATTGAGGAAGTTGTTTAAAACATTCCCAATAATTTTCGTCCATCATTAGTAACTGCATGAATAAGGACATTATACATTCAGTTGCTTTGTCCATTTTCCCTTTCTTGAAAAGATCATCAATTACCATTACCACACTAAATGTTACCATGGAAGGCCTCACACCTTGATCCACCATCGTAACAAATAAACTTCTGCCCTTCTCCCAATCACCCACATACATGTTGGACTTAGTTTCCCTCATGTGGAGGATGACCTAAAATCCTAAAGCCCAAAAAAAAAGAAAAAAAAAAGTGCAGCTTGTTCTAGTTGATTTTTGAGTGGGTGAACAGTAAAAAAACGTGGGTGATGTTCATAGATTAAAAATCTACAGAAGTGAGATAGAGGTAGCCACACCAGGTTCTTCCGACGATGATCCAACAGTGTATCTTGCTTATTTTTTGCTCACATTTTAAAGCGTTGTTATTGACGGCAAGATCTTCACATCCAAATGTCAGTTTCGTGATAGCCATTTTTTTGTGGAGTTTTGCCTCTAGAAAGACAGTCAAATCAAAGAGTTGAATTGCAGAATTTTCAGTCCGTCTGTCCTTCTTCAACATGACGATCAGAAGGTCATCTCTAGTATAATCAACCTGATTTTTGGTCAGAACGTAGAGGACGTGTCGCTTTTCAATCTGGACAGTGGGTTTTCGATTTTAACGGCTGAGTTTGGAGTTATATAGCTTACATTTTGGGTGCTTTACTGGTGATTTTATTCTTATATTTTCGTAACTCTTTTGTGTATTTTACTTTATTAGAGTTGTGATAAAGCTCTAAATTTTGTGTGGAATATTATTAATGATTTGTGGCTATTGTAAACACTTATTTATCATAGTGGATTTAACTAAATCATTCGATCCCGTGGTTTTTTAATCTCTTTACATCGAAGAGATTTTTCCATGTAAAATTGCTTGTGTCTCTTGTGAATTTGATTGTTGTTTCAAGCATATTTGCTCAAGGTTTTGCTCCTCACATATTCATTCAAGTAGGAAATATTTTGTTATGGCATTATTTCCTTTCAATACAAACATGAATTAGAGTGGGATAAGTGGTTGCGTTTGGAATAATTCTTAAACTCTTCATTTCCAAAAACAATTGTCTCGCGTTCTCAACTAATTTGTGCTTACAAAGACCATCAATTGAATTACTATTGTAGCGCTTGGTTTCGGGAATTTTTTATTACAAAAGATAGGATTATCATTGAGATATTACCTATTAATGGGGAATGTTATATTAATAGATTTGGTTAGATTGGTGAGTATAAATAATTAATACGTTTGGTTGAAAGAAATAAAATATGATCAAAGGGGTTTTTACTGAATTGTCTTTCATTTTTAATAATAATAATAATTATTATTATTATTTAGAGTATATTTAACCATTTACATTTGATAATTTAGCTAAAACACCCTCAACAACAAAAGTTTATAATTTAACAAAATACTCTCAGTCACTCAAGATGACTACTGACCACCAGCCACCACCATCGATCACTATTGGTATTGGTCAATTATCGGAATCTTTCGTTACTTAAGACCCAAACGTGGTAATTGTCAGATTAAAAGATAGATTACCGATATTATCTTTTATGACCCCGAACCAAACGCTAAGTATAAGTAATAACATTTGGTCTCCAATATTCCTTATTGAAATGATTTTCTTCTTTTAATATTTATATCTAAAAATAAAATATTATGAAGAGAAAGATAAATAATATTAACAGCTAATACTTGCGTTAAAAAAAAATATATAAAATATATACAAGCTTTCTGCATTTACAGAAGTGTCATTTAGTTCATCTAAATAATTTATAAAAATATCAGACACACCATTAACCAGAACATGGTGATTGCAGGTGGAGCTTGACAGAAGGCCAGAATTCTTCNGAAGAGGTTTTTCTACGTAAAATTGCTTGTGTCTCTTGTGAATTTGATTGTTGTTTCAAGCATATTTGCTCAAGGTTTTACTCCTCACATATTCATTCAAGTGGGAAATATTTTGTTACTACATTATTTCCTTTCAATACAAACATGAACTAGAGTGGGATAAGTGGTTGCGTTTGGAATAATTCTTAAACTCTTCATTTCCAAAAACAATTGTCTCGCGTTCTCAACTAATTTGTGCTTACAAAGACCATCAATTGAATTACTATTGTAGCGCTTGGTTTGGGGAATTTTTTATTACAAAAGTTAGGATTATCACTGAGATATTACCTATTAATGGGGAATGTTATATTGATAGATTTAGTTAGATTGGTGAATATAAATAATTAATACGTTTGGTTGAAAGAAATAAAATATGATCGGAAGGGTTTTTACTGAATTGTCTTTCCTTTTTAATAATAATAATAATAATAATTATTATTATTATTATCTAGAGTATTTTTAACCATTTACATTTGATAATTTAGCTAAAACACCCCCAATAACAAAAGTTTATAATTTAACAAAATACTCTCAACCACCCAAGATGACTGCTGACCGTCGGCCGCCACCATCGATCACTATTGGTATTGGTCAATTATCGGAATCTTTCGTTACTTAACACCCAAACGTGGTAATCATCGGATTAAAAGATAGATTACCGATGTTATCTTTTATGACCCCGAAATAAACGCTAAATATAAGTAATAACATTTGGTCTCCAATATTCCTTATTGAAATGATTTTCTTCTTTTAATATTTATATCTAAAAATAAAATATTATGAAGAGAAAGATAAATAATATTAACAGCTATTCAGCTAATACTTGCGTTAAAAAACATATATATATAAAATATATACAAGCTTTCTGCATATACAGAAGTGTCATTTAGTTAATCTAAATAATTTATAAAAATATCATACACACCATTAACCAAAACATGGTGATTGCAGGTGGAGCTTGACAGAAGGCCAGAATTCTTCGCGAGAATTATGATTCATTGAGCATGCATTACATAACAGAGTGTAACCAACTAAATTAATAAATACAAATGGATAGTTTGATAATGGATGCCGATCTATATATTTCGTATTTCTTTGCATTTTATGGATACAACAGTAGATTGCTAGGTAACTAGTTTCATTACAAGATCGCATTGATCAAGCAAACGAGAGGGATTGCATGAAAGAATATCCTTTGATGATGTAGTTTTTCATACAAAATTAGATTATTAGCCAACTAAAAACAAGTGTTTGTGTAAGCAGAAAACAATTATTGGAATATTAGAAAGTAAAGCATGTTCAATCTTGTTTCGAAATGTAATCGATCCTAAACCTTCAATTTGGTATACTATTGTCAAGAACATGAGCACCCTGCTGCAGCGTAACTCCCTATCATAATAATTGCGGTTATTGAATCAGGTTCCGAAAGTAATTCCAGACACTCAAGGTCCTGAACCTGCCCATTATGATGTTAGCTCACTTGAATCAGCCCTCAGAAGAACTGAAAATCCTGGCTCTAATCCAGAAGGCAACAGAATTGATTGCTGCTCAAATGATTTAACAGATGTTGTAAGTAAATTTCTCAGGCTTCCACCTACTTGTGTGCATTATAGATCATCCAAACTGCTTCTATAGTTTCACCTGTGTTCTTGAAAAAAACTCCACCATTGCAACCCTTGACTGCTATCTCAGAGTCTGGTCAAGAAGAAGCAGCTGTTAATGAGATGGGGGAGAGGAACATCCCAGTTGAAGCAACTGCAGGTAATTTCTTTCCTTCATTGCTCGTGTTCCCTTCAATTTGTATCTCAACTAACTTATCATTTTTTTTTTTCAGTTTGACAAAGGATCCTACAGTGGCATTAAAACCAGCACTAGCTCCCATTTCTTCTTCATTCCAAGACCAGGATTCTGCTGTGCCTCAATATATATATATATGATGATTTTCAAATTTTGAGATCAAATTTCTGCAAGTACTCAAAATTTGAGTATCTAGTTGTAATTAAGTCTGATTTAATAATAATTTATTAAATGTTCTCATTTTTGTTAATAGTATGCCATTATTTAATAAATAATTGGATCAACCACTTGCATTAACTATTAACCCTTAGATTTTGAACTTTCGAATGACCATTAACTATTACTTAATCATGCCAAAAATGTGGCTGGCTGGCGGCCTTTTGTACTTTACTTTTATATTATTCATGAAATGTTCCCCAGAAATATTAATTAAAAAAATTAAAAATCATGCTTGCACTTCAGGTAATTTTGATACAACAACTACTGAATCAACATCATAAAATAAGTATTTAAAATAATAATTAAAAGAGAATTATTATCAAGAATTTAATAGGAATATTCCCTTTCATTACAAACTAATTGTCACATTTATAACACTACTCATAAATAGATGACAATTACCTATTATCTTTAATTACATTGTATAAAATAAATTAAATTAAATTAAAGAATAAACGAACATGAAGAAGAAAATTCAAATACAATCCAACACAAGAAAGAAATTAAAATTAAAAAAATAAATCAAAAAAATTTTGTGCAATTAAATCTGCATAGAAAACCTCTCAGAAAAAAAAAACACAGGCTTCTTCACAGAGACTCCATGGTCAAATCCTCAAGGAGAAACAGAAGATCCAGAGCTGTTTCCTCTACAATAACGAAGCTTCAAAGAGATCTGTCTCTCCATCTGAAGTTGTCTATGAAAATTAGCAATAAACATTTCAGCTCTCTTGTCGATATCATCCTGATCGGAAGTATAACTTATCGTTCTGTGAAGCGATCCTGATCTCGAAACTGAACTCGACTCGTCCCACGACGACTCCATATCTTCTTCCGTGCATGCCCTCAAGCCTGGCCGGTCGTTCAAGCTGAATAAACGGTGGCTTGAAGAAGCACCGATCATCGAAGCAATACGCCACCGACTTAAGTTCAGGTCCAGCAACATTTTCAGCTTCTTAACGGCCATTCTCAGGTGGCTAAGCAAAGACCAGCTGCTCTTCCCCATGTTTAGTTTACTAACAATTGGCTTGAGAATTAGTGAGTTTGATGAATTTTTGGTGAAAATGGTGGATGAGATGAGGGTTATATACAGAGAGATTGAGGTGGCTTGAAAGAATTTTCCGAAGTTGGATAAAGAAATAGAGAAATGAAAGGAAAGGAAGTTGCTGCGTAAGTTGAAATAATAAAATGCGTATAAGATTGGACTAGCGTGTTAAGAGAGAGGTTAGTGTTATTAATCTTGTGATAGATGAAGGGTATTTGGTCAAACGTTTGACAAGTTCTACATTTTATTATTATTATTATTATTATTTTTTTAAGTTTTGACTTTTTGTTTAAGAATGTGCATGATAAAAACGGAGGCATTATTATCATGTAGGGTTTTCTTGCTTAATTGAATGAATTGCATGAGGTCAAATTTTGATAGTTATCTATAGTATATACATTTTCACACACAATATAAATGAAAATGTGGGTAGTAACTAATACAATTATAGATAACTTAAAAGACTTTAATCGTATTTCAGGTAAAATTTGATTCGAATTAGCAAGTTAATATCAAGTATAAATACAACGTATACAATTAGATAATTTAGCTACGTGGTCGTTTTCTGGTTGCATTGCACCTTTCACTTAAAATTATTTTAATATTTCTTTACGTGTCGGAATTTAACACACACAAAAAGAAACAGAATTTAAATTAAATAAATGTAAAATGTTGTCTTAGCCGCTAAGCTGTTGGGCATGGGTTGACTGTCATGGTTGCTCAAAGTTTGAAAAAAAAAAATTAAATACCTCCAACCAGTTAAGAAAATTATAAAAGTTAACCATTGGATGCGTAAAAAAGCAAAAAATAAATGAAATAATATGATCTTATAAGTTTGAGTCCCCTTAATGATAAAAGAACAATAACAACATTTAATATGATCTTTTAAATTTGAATTCTCATAATCATTAATAGGTATAGTTATTAAAACTCTTCCTCGATCAATAATTTTAAGGTTTTGAAAAATTAGTTGAAACATACGTAAAAAAAATTCATAAAAATTATTTAAATTCTTATAAAAGAAAGTCCCCATTTGTCTCTAAAATATCTTAAGTTTCAAATGTCTATTAAATATTCCTATTTAAAGGGTTTCTTGCTTTTAATATATATGTTATGTTTTTAAGAGTATTTTAATAATTTCGAGATGTTTGGAACTTACTATTTCTCGTGGGATAAATGAAATTAATCCAAAAAGAAAGGTATAAAATCAATAACCGAATAATGTACTAATATTATGTTTGGCTTATTATTTCTGCACATATTCCCAATCTTATTCTCCAAATAATCTTTGGCATATTATTCCAAAAATATTATCCTATTTTTTAATTACTTTTAGACCCCAAAAGGTTATTAATTTCCTTAAATACCCCCTAAAAAAATTTTAAAAATTAACAAAAACAGCCTCGTGATCCATACTTGCCAGATTCCGACAACCACCATCGGTGGTAGCTGAAATCTACCACAACGGTGAATTACCAGTCAGAACTGGCTGGTAATTCACCGTCGTTTTGGCCTTTTCCCGCCGTCGACGGCCACAGCAGGCCGTAAACGCGTTACGACACAGATCCGACCGGCCTGTGTTGTAAAGCAATTTTCCGGCCAGATTCTGACGGTGGTAGCCGGAATCTGGCATTGCAGGTGGTGGGGTTATTTTTGTCATTTTATATGTTGGGCTGTTTAATTAAATTAGTAAACCTAGGGGCTTTTTTATAAATTTTTAAATTTTACCTTGTAATGCTCCCCTATTCAACCACCCAATATTATTTTCAAAATCTTATCCAAAGTAATAAACCAAACGCACCCTAATTATTCTTGTGCTTAAATTTTAATTTAAAACACTTCAAATTACCGGTTCAATATTTAACAAGTTTCTGGTTTCAAGGGTCTCTAAGTACAATAATAAAATGCATTTAGCATGTACTTTAGCTTTAAAAATGGAAATTTTGCTATAAAAAAAATACTAAAAAAATACAATCTTAATAATCCACTATATCTTTAAATTTATGGTTAAATTATTCCCTCCAAACGACAAAAAAATAAATAATTTAAAATTTTGTGGTGGTGCATTCAGTAAGAATACGTAACTACTCCACATTTGCTCTATATTAATTAATATATATTATGATTTTCTTTTGTTATATTGTAAATTGTTTTATCCTAGCAACTACACTTTCGGGTGAAGAATATTATTAGCAGCTGGCATCAGCATGGCTGAGAGTTTTGACGCCGTCAGCTGTAATTGCCGATAACTCCTCGTGCTTAAAAATTTGAGCTTAGCTAGAAGCGAAGTTCAAACAAGCTTGCAAAAGCAGGCCTCGTGGTCAATTTGAAACTATTTAAATACCATTAGATTTTATTCTTGCTAACCAAGTTTTGGCTAAGCCAACAAAAATCTAATCATGTTTATCTCCCTACGGATGAATATGTAGAAAAATGGAATGAGGGTATTTTTGGTATTTCATATATCGAGCATATATTATCTCCCATTGCAAATTTAGTAGTAGTTATTAGTGAGAATGGACGGACCTACTTACTCATGAGTCGAGGCTGTGACCCCACTCAATTTTTTTTTTTTATTAATTTAGTTTGATTTTTTGTTTTCACCCAATTGTATTTGTATTAATGTTTTTGATTTGACCTTACTTATCCTGTTAGTGGGTGTTGCTATTTGCACTAGGGGTGGACAAATAGGACCCGGGCAGGCCCAAGCCCTAAAGGACCAATCCCTGGACCGATCCTGTATATGATCGATCATATGCAGGCCTGATAAAAAATTACATTTTAACCTCTAAATTTATTATAATTTCATTTTATTATATATATAAGTATTGTTATTAATTTATTTTACCATCAATTTGTTATTTTTATATTAATTCATTTTTAAAGTGCTTCCCTACAAACACACTTTTTGNCCGAAATGGAGAAGGATCGAGTCAACCGCAACAAGGTATTATAGACAACATGATGACTGTACGGGATAACATAACGAATGCACTGTGGGTAGCACAGTGGACCATGTCATAGTTGTTACTGGAGTAAACGTGTAATAATGATTGTAAGGGTTGATAATTAGTATTTTTGTCATATATGTATTAATGTGATGTTTTTAAACTGTTGGATTACTACTTGAAATTAATATGGGTTTTTGTTTTTTAATATATACGGGTAACAAAATTATCAATAAAATATTTAGTATTATTAAAATGTGAGGTGATAAGTTATATATATATAATAATACATTATTTTAACAAAATACAATAAAATATTTTATTAATAAATCATTTATAAACAAATATATTAATCAAATATTTAACACAAATATCAAGATCAAAATACTCTACCAAACACATATTCTGAAAATCATATTCTCGTAATCATAACCCTATCCAACTATCCAATACTATCCTCAAAATCCTACCCAAAATACTAAACCAAACGCACCCTATAAGACTTCAAGGATACTTTTGATAGTATTAAATATTGGGGAAGGTAAATGAAATTGACTCGTTCACTTTCCGTCAACGTCAGAAACGATGACGTTCTACCGTTTTCCAATAAACTAAAAATACAGCAAGCTTTAGACTAAAACAAGATCCACTGGAAAACAAAACTTCCTAAATGCATCCTCTACGAAATCTCCAAAATATAAATCATTTCAATTGATCTCAATTCTCACCACCGGATCCACCCGTTCCTCATTTAGATCTTGTCACTTTCCCAAGAAAATCAACACGAAATCCATACCCCTCACTTTCCCGAGAAAATGTCGCACTCTCACAGTGACACCGTACCTCTCCACGCCTCCTCTCAATCCGACATCGACGAGATCGAAAACCTAATCCACGTTAGCGTCCAATCCGGCCAATCCACCGTCCTCCCGGCCCGGCCGCCCAGCCCGACGCGGCCCGCCACGATCCCTGTCTCCTCTGCTTCATCAACTCCTTTCATCAATTCAAACCTCCCTCCGCTTCCTCCCTCGTCCAATCAGAAGGTGCCATCTGTCTCCGCCGCGCCTCCGCCTCCGCTCCCGCCATCGACGAACCCTACCAGTTCTCGTTCGAATATCGGGGTTAGCGGCTTCGGGCCGGCTCCGAACACGTTGACGGAGCCGGTTTGGGACACGGTGAAGAGAGATCTATCGCGAATTGTGAGTAATTTGAAACTGGTTGTGTTTCCGAATCCGTATAGAGAAGATCCGGGAAAGGCTCTGAGAGATTGGGATCTGTGGGGCCCCTTCTTCTTTATAGTGTTTTTAGGGCTCACTCTCTCGTGGTCAGCCTCTGTTAAGAAGGTCAGCATTTAATTTAGTTACATTAGTTTGGAAAATGTCGGATAGCTTAATTTAGACTAAAAGAGTTTTATTACGAATTTTGCTATTAATTTGCTTGTGATCAATATGAGTCTCCAAATTTATGCTCAATAACTTTGACAGTTTAAGCGTACAATTTCCTTGTGAAAATGTAAAAAATATATTAACATTGATAATGCAGCAATACATAGTTTAGATACATCTTGTATATAGGAGTTTGTATAAGCGAAAATTTACTATCGTAGTTACCAGTGATTGTTGGCCTTGTTGGATTTCTTTGCCTACAACTTAGTTGCGATGAGGGTGTACTGAAAAATGAGTAATGAAATATCTGGGCGAATCTGGATAGTAGTAATTTTTCTACTAACTTGTCTCATATTTGTGCATTTGAAGCCTAAAGTTTGTTATCGATGAGAGGCCTAAATTTGGAGAAGTTAAAAGGACTGACTGGATATTGAAAGATAATCCAAATTGAGCTTGTTGGTATTGGCAATTTCTCCCAAAGTCCAATGTCTGATCTTATTCTGTCAATCTCAACTAAATACAAATGTTTTGCTCTAGTATTGCCCTTTTTCTTTGCAACATTAGATTATTTGGATTCAACGTGATGTTTTCAGATTTTCTATAGAATGCAGAACAGCGTTCAGGGACTTAGGTGCTCTTTTTTTGTGTTTGTTTATAAATGATACCTTGCTAGCAAATTGATTTCATATTTTTGGTAGTGATATAAATTCTCGAGTTGGAAATCTTTACGAGGTATAGAGATCAGTGAGGGGAGACATCATTTGTAGTGTTACACTTCTAAGATTGTATCTTCATTCTTTATTTTTTCTGGAGGGTGGTGGACTTCAATGGTGGGACTTTGCAATGAAAATGTGCGGTGGGGAGGTTTTGGTGATGTATGGAAAGAAGAGTTGAAACCTGGTATAGCCTATTCTTGAGTGCAGGGGTTGAAGTTGAGAAAAAGTAAAATTAAGGTTTGACATCGTGACTATAGATGTGATTCTTGAGATATTTTCCAGTAATCTATCTAATTGTTAATATTAACTTACAGACGTGTAGATTAACACCACTTTAAGCTTATAATTTCAAGTGTCTTTAGAATGTTTTACTTTCGTAGAAAAAGTTATGGATAGGCGGGTTACCAGTGATTTTGTCACCACTAACTGAACAAAAAGGTTATGCATCCAAGTTGCAGTTTATGTGTCTATCTCAGATCAATAATTACGTAATTATGTGACTAAGTCCAAAGATGTGGCATTTCCTTTTAAGGTGGTAATGAATTGGGTCACTGTGTTCATCCTTTCCAAAGAATTCATCGGTTGCTATTATGTTCAATCATGATTTCGATCAATATAATTGATAATAGAAGGATTTGGCTAGACCCTC